ACCTTTAACATTCGCTCAATTTTAAGGACCTATTTGAAACATGCATCAGCAAGGAAATTTCGCTGTCTAATGTGCAACGCCTTCATTACCTTAAAGCGTATTTGAAAGGCGATGCTGAACATTCGGTGCATTCTGAGATCACGTTTGTCTTTCCACTTCAGCACAACTATACCATTGGCATTTTCTCTAGCCACTACTTCGCCTTTCTTTATAGGAGCACCCACAACTTCTTTCGGGAAATATTTCTCGTTGGCATGGAGTGTACCGACAACATGTGTTTTTTGATTTAGCATTGAACGAGCCAATTCATAGCTGGTGTAAAAGTTGTCTACATATAACGTTCGACCTTCTTCGACGTTTTTCGCCGAACCGACTTCCCTCAATCCAGTTGATGACTTGCCAGAATATATTTTTACTGACCAGGTAAGTCCTTTGGTAGAGCAGAGTTTAAAAAGCTTTATACCATAAGGGTGAGCCTTGTTTGGTATATATTGTCGGAAACTTAGTCTGATCGCCATGGAATAAGGGTCTCATCAATTACTATATTTTCACCTGGTACGTCAACTCTTTGATATCGCATTTGAAGCATGTCCATTAGCGGTTGTATTTTACCAAGTCGATCGCCTGTAGTGATGTGCTGAATTGTCGGTACCCAATACTCGGTACCGAATACTTGAAAAAAATTTCGGTGCCCAATACTTTCCTTTCGGTACCCGATACAGATTCGATACATTAAACCTTCGTCATAATATACATACTTTTGAAGTTTGCAGAAAAAAATGTCATTGCTATTTTATATGACATCGTCAAAGCAAGAAAAAAAACACCTACAAATAAGCAATATGTATGCTAATATCTGAGCCTTATTGTAGTTATCGCAACAGTCTTACCAACTGCAACAGTTCTTGTGGCAACATTGTTAATTCGTAATACTTTGGCAACTCTCTTTTCAAAGAATATTTATTACGATTTGCAATATGGTTGCCGCTGTGGCTGAGTAGTTAGAGGCGCGTACTACCACTCCTTAGGACCCGGGTGCGATCCCTGGTCCGAGCAACAGTTGAATGTATTTCTGTGTAATTTGAGATATAACATCAAGACACATACCACAAATTGGAAGTGAAAGTCAGCCAAATACTTAGCAAAAGTGTAAACGCTAAAATCTTATTACATATTATTGTTACGACGACCGTTCTAAGCGAACCCTTACTTTCAAAAAAACCATAGATTAATGAGATTCATAAAAACTTCAACGATCACTTAACAGCTTTTATTCCATATTGGTGGGTCTTATTATAAATTCCAATATTTCGGTACCGAGTAACGAAAGTATTGGATACTCTCCAAATCGGTACAGAGTATCGATCAATACTTAAAAGTACCGACTCATCACATCACTAATCGCCTGGTAAAATTGAATTGTTGTCTGAGAAGTGCATGAAACTAAGCAATAACTGAAAACGATTTCGCGACATTGTTTTTCCCGGAATGGCAAAGTTGTAAAGCAAATCTTTGGACCAATAGTCTTTTGTAGATCCGATTCTTACCAAACCCATCCACAGCAGAGGGCCGAGGAACATTTTCATTTCAAAGTTTGTTGTTGGCACCCAATTTTTTTTCGAGAAGATCTGGTAGTAGTGTGTTGATTAAAACATTCTTGCACATATTTATTAGTTTCCGTGACAATTAAATCAATAACTTCGTTGTCAACGAATAGGATAAATGCGTCCAAACAAGAAATATCTTTTGAAATACATTAGGGGTATTCTTGATGTCTTGCACGATGCACGGATTGCACGAAATGCAAAAATACTATTCCAAATTTCGAAGAGTACGAGAGCACCCCATTGCAAAGTGGTAGCATGCATGGGTAGCAAGCAGCGAAATTATGTATCAAATACAATAACAAGAGACAGCAAAACAATAATGAAGTGAGCGAGATGAGAGGAATGAGAGAAATATGTAGCAATTCCAACAACAAAACAACTAGCACAGGGTCGCATTTATCTTGCTATGCTATTTTGCAAAATATATACATGGGTTTCGACGATGCATATTTTGCAGCGATAGGATGAATGTTGTTTCCCATGTAGTTTGTTGTTGTGCGTTTGCAAGTTATGTAATCCATGCAATCCGTGCTACGTGCAATGGCTTTGCAAGATTTGGAGAATACCCCTATTGTTGCAAGCCTGATCGCCCAGTGAATGTGAACGACTTCTGGCGCGAAGAAAATTCAGTCCAAATGTCGTTCGTCCTCATCTATATCCCAATCGTCTTCAGTATCGTAAATACCAATATTATGAGCCGAGTCAGTGTCCAAATCACCTGGCATCCAGTCCTCATCAATCAACGAGTCATCCCAAGAAAAATCATCATCACTTGTTTCCAAGACTTCATGTATTTCACGTTCCCTAAGGTTTCGTTTCGCCATTTTTTGATGTTACAATAGGTCCATTCTTTTGTAACCGAGCTACACCAGAACACTCGTTTAAATGACGAAATACACACAAAGCAACAACACAAACTCGGCTAGTTATCCGAGTTCAGCCAGGTCGGTTAAAAAATACGCGACCTGAAGAGTAGTGTTGTTAAGCGAAAAAACTGCTCTGTTGTGAATTGTTACTGGGAAATTGGAGAGGGAAATTTTTGTTTTCGTATTTACATGATTTATATTTTAAATAAGTATATATATTACGCAAATACCTCGCATAATAACTAATTTCTATTATTTTTTGTGTCTAAATCCCGTTAAACTAATCACATGTGTCTTGCCAGCTACCAGCAGGGTTGCTTAAGTAGCTAAAAGGAAATTTTACCCGAGTTGAGCGTTCTTTTGTT